GGATGGATGGATGGTATTTTCAAGGCTTGGTTCAAATATCACCTCTTCTGTGAAGTCAGCAAGTTAGAGCAGGGATCTAGTTACTGTATTCAGTTATTCTTTCATTATGTTCCAGATTATTCTAATTGGAAGAAGCACTTTTTCTTCATGTCCATAGGAGTATCAGGGCTTTAGAGGCCATGCAGTGACCTTACAGGGTTTGCCAGAGTCCCCCGTACAACATAACCACCAACTGACCATTCAGCTTTGCTTACCCGCTCCTTTGTGGAACTCCTCTTGAGGTGGCCGATTCCATTTTAGGACACCCCTGCTGTCTCTGTGTGTGTGCCCGAGTGCACACGTAGGCTCTATCCGCATTACGTGCAGGCTCATCTCTGCCCTGCAGTTTGTTGGGGCTACATAGTGCTGCTGAGATCATGCAGTGCAGAAAAAAATAAAAGTTTGAATGTCCTCCTTACCATTTACTAGTTGTATGACTTATCCAAAGTCATAGATAAGTGCCTTTCAGATCTTCATGACCCCCTCATGGATTATTTTGAAGATTACATGCAATTGCGGATGAGGCACTATGTGGTATACATAGTAGGCAGTCAATAAGTGTTGGTTTCTTCACTCATTAGAAGGAACGTGAGTGTTCATTTGGATCTTGAGTTAAATGGGGAATGAAGGTTCATAGGGTTTGGATGTGTCCAAGGTCACTGCCATCACCTCTGACCCCTAGGCCTCTGCTCTTCTGACTTGATCACTGTACTAACCCCAGCTCCCAAGGGCAAATGATAATAATCATGATTGTCATTAGTATAATGATAATGATCATAGCTGTGATAGCTAACACGTGTACTGCTTACTGAGGGCCAGGCACTGCTCCAAGCATTTAACTCAATTAACCCTCCCAACAGCCTTGTGAGGAAAATACTATTAGGATCCCCATTCCACATGGGAGACATGGAAGCATAGAGCAGATGAGTAACCTGCCCAGAGTCCCACAGCTGGTATCCGGTGGGGCTGGGATTCAAATCCAGGCAGCCTGGCTCTGGAGTCTGTTCTCTGAAACCCTGCCCCCTGCTGCCTTGAATGCTGTGAAGGGGGCAGGATTGCTGGGATGAGTAAGTGCTTGGTAAGTGCTGGTCAGATTGTTACTCTGGCCTCATCTCTGAAATCACTGGATACAAGCCCTATTCTATAATTCCCAAGTATAGAACAGGACATTTTATTAGCTAAAGAGGAGGCAGTATGGTGTAAAGGGAAGAGCTGTGGAGATTAAGTGAGACAATGGGTGCAAACTCTAGCACGGAGAATTTGGGAAGATGAAACAGCATAGCGTTTGAAGCTCTCTGGATCGCAACCCAAAACACGCTGATGGCTGGACAGAAAATTGTAGAGTCCGTGGAAAACATGCCCAACTAAACAAGGTGACATGACATCCCTATGAACCCCAAGATACAGTTTATGTTCACTTCCATGTTATCAGCACCTGTGCAGGAGAGAGCAGTGGGAGACTCCAGAACAGTCAACAACTGCTCCCTAGTAGAAAAATTTCAGAGCAGCATCTGAAGCTGGGAAAGATTTTACTCATTCCATTCCAGTGTGTGCAAGGAGCTCGTGGAAGTGTTGAGGGAATGGCCCCATCTAGCCTCTAGGAACTCTTGAAACTGACCCAGCAGGACTTTCCTTAAGGTCATGGTTTGGAGAAGCTGCTGGAAGTGAAATGCAGAATTGAGTAGGAGAGAGACAATAGACCACGGATAATGAAGGTCCAGGTAAATGTAGAGGACTATCAGAAAGCAGGCGGCCCAAAATGTCAGATAAGGAAGCTCTGTGAAGTCGGGAAAACTTCGTGAATATGCCTTTTTCTAAAATGTCAGGAAAGTGAAATTTCAATTTCACTTGGAAATGATCAACCAAAAAGCATCAATGTTGAATCTCATACAAAATTATTGTAAGAAGAAGGATAATAAGAAACAGAATGACATCCTTCTGGATAATGAAAACACACCAGAAAGATATGCTCAGAGACTAGATCGAAACTGTGACCTATATCAAAACAAAGCAAAAGCACTAAGAAAATGATCAAAAATGGAAGAAAACTGCAATTCAGAATGAACTAAATTGAGACATGAAGCGACAGAACCCAGGAAATAATTTAAAATTAAAACAAAAAGCAATTGCAGAAGTAAATACTTCAGAGAAAGCGTGACCCAGAAGAAGACAAATTTTATAAATAAGGAAATAGAAGAGATGAAAAAGCTTGAAGTGACAGACACTGAAGACCCAACATACGGATAATAGAAATCTCTGAGGAACGAACCCACAACAAAGGAAAGAAATAAGTAAATGATTAACTCAACGAAGTTTCCAGAAATTAAATTAGAAAAATCCACATTGAGAGAACACACAGCATACCTGAACATATCTGTTCAGAGCAGCAAATACTGAGACATAGTCTCGTAAAATTATCGGACTTTGAAGAAAAGAGGAGCCAAACATCTAGTGGGCATCTAAGCAAAACCAGGAACAATATTTAAGGGGAAAAATTATATTGCCATCTGACTTTTTCATAGCAAAACTTATTTTGGAAGAAGGCAAATACTTAGGATCCTCAAGAAAATGTGAGCCAAGGATTGTCGACCCAACAAAAGAGACTTGTGTGTGCAAAGGATACGAGGTATTACCAACACACACAAGTATCAACAGGCCAACATTAGGCATCGTTACTCATCCAACTACAACTGAGTGTTATAAGGAAAACATATATTATGAATTGCTATATGTTCAAACAATGTAGAATCAGCATATCTATTAAAAAATGCCGGTAGAATAGGGAGGACATATCCAAACAAACATTAGTTTTAAAAATATTTTATTTATTTTTTCATGACAGAGACAGAGATTGAAGCAGAGACACAGGCAGAGAGAGAAGCAGGCTCCCTGTGGGGAGCCTGATGCGGGACTCGATCCCAGAACCCTGGGATCACACCCTGAGCCGAAGGCAGATGCTCAACCACTGGGCCACCCAGATATCCTCAAACATTATTTTAAGTAATTGTGTCACTGGTGGCAATTTTACTATTGCTCTCCTGAGACTACCGTGTCAGAATATGGAATTAACTACATCAGTAATTACAGGATATTCTATCCTCTCCTGTGTTGCTGAGAACCAGGATTCTGATATGGAAGAAAAGAGATTCCTTTGTAATATAGAAGAGATTAAAAGTCTGTGTGGTTCTTGCTTTGAGTCAGAAATATTACTAGGAACTCATGATGAAGTTTACCTTTAAGCCTGTCCACTGAAGAGGCCTGGAAGCAATGGCCAACCCAGCAGCACCGACCACATTGGGCATCTAGGCTGTGGTCTTGAAATACCATTTTCCACTTTAAAAAAAAAAAAAAAAAAAAAAAAACAGAACAAAAACAAACCCAAGACTTCTTGGAGAAGTAACTGGGGCAGGGGAAGTATAAGATGAGGCTGGACCACCCTGTTGTTCCAGAGTAGCTCAGGAGAGCTACTGACGATGGCTGGAGCCATCCTGATCTGTCCTCTGGCCAAAGATGGGAAAGCTCAACATCCAACAAAGGATAATGATTGCCATGGATTGAAATCCATCCGATAGTTTAAATCCATGAGTTGATACTGATATTTTTAAAAAATCAACTGGTAACCTCTGGATGATGATAGAGAGCCAGTTCATGATCCAGAAACACTTGTAAAAACAAGACAAGAAATCAGGCATTGATCTGGCTTTTCTTCTATGAACGATACCCCGTGGTAACCAGATAGTGTATGAGGGGAAGCACCCGTTACAGAAGTGTTCCAACTAACACACTAAAAAGAAATGATAGAATCCAACTACCAGCATTTTGCAATCCCCGATGAATCACTGGATCTACGTCCTGAGCATCAACAGCTGCTGATGTCACTGAGAGAGAGAGACAACCAGATACCAAGTGCCCTCCGATGGATGACATGCTACCAACTGTCATCTTGCCAAAGGGACTGGGCCTTCATTGGCTCAGGCCTGGATGCGGCAGCCAGCATGCCAGAAATGCAGAGGATGGGGGAACACGCTGCATTGCACCACGAGGATGCAGTCGGCGTGTCCACATGGAGGAAGCTCTATCACTCAGAGGCTTCCAGTTCCTTAACAGATCAACTGTCTGGGAAATGAAGGGATAGAGAGGGAACCTGTAGATTAAAAAGGGCTCGAGAGACAGCACACTTTTCTCATGGACAAATCTAAATGATGGTGTCTCAAGGTGCACACTTGTGTGATACGAGCTATAAAGAAACCCAGGTAGGCGGCTTCTGGAACAGTCGGGACAGAGGTCTGGGGGGTGGGGGGGTGGGGGTGTGGAAAAGGGTGCAGAGACAGGTATGGGCACATGAAGGGGCCTCGGGTGGCGGATGGAAGATCTCTTTCTCAACCTCAGTGGCGATTATAATACTCACTAAATTACATCGTTGTTCTGGGTAGGTTTAGCATCTGTGTTTTATTTTACAATAAAGAGGATTCAAAACATGTCTAGCTAAAATGTTCCCCCGTCCCGGTGTGTGGCATGACACTGTGGGTTTGACCTCTTTGTGCTGGGCACCGTGCTGAGCGTGGCATATACGCTCCCTCACTTACTACCCCCGAGACCCACCTGACCCAGGGCTCCGGGAGGCAGGACCATGTGTCCCACGTTTGCTTTGGCGTCCCTGGCACCTCGCACCCAGCAGGCCTTCAAAACACACTTGTCGAGCGAGGGAATTCGTCTACAATTATAGAAACTGACGCCCGGTCCGTACAGTTGGGCAAATAGCAAAGCTCCCCTTGTCCCTAGACAGGGCGATGGAAAGCAGAGCATGGGTGCCGGCCGGGTCTGCAGGGAGGGCTGTATGGCATCCCCGCCGAGCAGCCGGGTCCACCTGGCCCACCTGCTGCTCCTCCTGGGACCTGGGTCTCCATGGGAGTGGCGATTCCGACTTTCCCATCCACCTCTTGTGCTGTGGTTCCCCTCAGGCTCCGCCAAGAGAAGACAGACACTGTCCGCTGCATCAAGTCCTGCCGCCCCAACGACGTCACCTGCGTGTTGGACCCCGTGCACACCATCTCCCATACTGTTGTGTCGCTGCCCACCTTCCGAGAGTTCACCCGCCCTGAAGGTGAGTGGCTACTCCCATGGCTACAACTGGCGTGGGGGCCCCAGGGCAGGTCGCATCTGCTAGACAGACATCCCTGTGAGGCAGCCGCCACTGGGGCCTCCCGGTGCTTGAGCCGAGAGCTCGGCCCCAAGGAACTCCTCCCTGGTAAGAAGTAGACTTGCCTCTGCATCTCCCCGGTGTCCCCAAGAGTGCACGGCCTCATGCCGGCCCGTTCCTGGCTCAGCTCAGGAGGCCACTTCTTGTGGGTCACAGCTGCTCAGCAAACGGCTGTTGAGTGCTGGTTCTATGCTGAGTGCTGGGGCGTCAGGGAGGGCTTCTGAGAGGAAGTGACTTCCACGCTGGGGCCTAAGTGGTCAGTAGGAGATAAGTAATGAAAATGGGGAGCAGAAGAAAAAAAAAATAAGGAGCAGGGAGAGAGGAGGAGCTCTGCCAAGCGGAGCAGAACTCATCTGGAAAGGTCTGGAGGGGCACTGGGTCTTTGAGGAACTAAGCCAAGTTTTGCTGGCTGGAGTGGTAGAGTCTTGGCAAGAGCCTTGACTTGGGGTTGGGGCTTCCATTCCAAGGCTTCTGGGAGCCATCACAGGGCTGCACCTGATGCTATTTGTGGACAGAAATGTCACCCTGGAGACCGAGACACTAGACTGGACCCAGGTAGCCCAGGGGTAAAGCAATGTTCCCAGCCCCACCCTGCAGGCGGCTCCTAGCCTGCTGTGTAGACCTGCCATCGTGGCACCCTTTCCGCCAGGGTGGGACCTGGGGCACAGCACCCTCCTGGCCCCTGGTGGAAGGCTATGCGTGGGTGCTGTTCTGCATGCTGAGGCTGCTGTGGTCTCCAGCACCCCCTCCTCTGTGGAGTCTTCATCTCTGGCCTTGGGAGGAGCTCACCATGAGGGATTCATGCAGCAGACGTTGCCTGAGCCACCTACGTGTCAGGCTCAGGGCCAAGCTCAGAGGCATAATGATAAGAAAGAGCCCCCTGACCCTCTGAGGGAAGGTGTCTGATTGAGCCAGCACGACTAATCCCACATTTACATGCTGTGCAGTGTCCCCTGGGGTAACTAACATAGGAGCACGTCGGAACACAGCACCCTGTTGGGGGGTTGGTGGCGAGGGCAGGAGAGGCTCCCCGAGGACGTGGTTGCCTGAAAAGGCTCGTTCCTCTGGAGAGAGGAGGCACAGGATCCCTGCAGGGTGGCACGGACGTGGGTTTTAGAAAAATCACTGACTAGTGTTTGCCTTGTGCAAAATGACAGTTTCCACCAAACCACATACAAATCCTTCCCAAACCCCTAACGGCCGCTTGTGTGGCCTCCCGGCCACTGCTGCTGTGTGAGTTGATTCTGCAGGGAGTCGAGTGTGGCCAGAGATGCCCCTTAACATCTCGGGCCCAGGAAATCCTGACCTTGACCTTTAGAGGGAGGGCACTGGCGGTCTGCCCCCTTCCCTCTGCAGATGGGGAAACTGAGGCCCACACAGGCGCCATGTCCAGATCGCCCAGAGCCAGGGTAGGATGGGGGCCTGGTGATGAACACAGCCACAGAGCTGCCCAGCCCACCCCAGGAAGGGGCTTTTCTAACCTACTTTGCCCCAGGGGCAGGAGACCAGCCTGCTCTGTTGCCCTTGCTGATCTCTGTCCCCTTGTCCCCGCATCCACTTCCCTCCCCCTTCTTTGCAGCTTCGTGAAGATTTATGACTAATTCCCAATTGCTCCCAGGCCCCCACACCTCTATCCCTTAAGCTGCAGGACCTCAGGGAAGATCCAAAACCAATGCAGGCCTCCATTTCCCGCTGATTGGAAGGGGGGTAGGCCATGACCTGTGAGCCCTCAGGACCCTGCCACCCCATCCATACAGGGCTCCCGGGTGCTGGACTCTCCTGACCCGAGGGTGCATCGCCGGGGTTCCCATGCCGTGCTTCTCTTGCCAGAGATCATCTTCCTCCGGGCTGTCATGCCCGTGTACCCTGCCAACCACGCTGACATCATCTTCGACATCACAGAAGGAAACCTGAGGGACTCCTTTGACATCATCAAGCGCTACATGGACGGCATGACTGTGGGTGAGTGGCTGGAGACGTTCAGGTCCACCCGGACACCTCCTCGTCTTCCCAGCCAGCGGCCTCGCAGGGGACCGTTTGGCTAGGCTGCTGGGAAACCTCTTTGGAGCAGCCCAGGTCGCATCTGAGCCTCCCTCCTCACACCCTCCCGTCCTTCAGGGACAGCTGGACCCCACCTGCCCCTGCCCCCCAAGGCCATCACCGGTGAGGAGGGGGATCTGCTCCTGCCTGTGCCGCCAGGCCTCCTGCCTGCCAGTGGGTGATTAAGTAGATCTCTGTGTCTCATGGCTGTGAACTGACAATATGACATAGGGGAGGTGCTTGTCTCAGGTCCCAGGTGGTCCCCGGGTCAGTGGAACCGGACCCGATAGGATTGTTATTCTTGTGGCACAACAGGAGGGATAGCAAACGGGGAGTCAGAGCCGGCGCTCTGGTCTCGGCCCCAGACCGCTCACCTTGCCGTGTGTCCTGTCGTCCCTCCTGACGGGTCACACACACAGCCCTTGGGCGAGGAGCCTGCTGGCACCTTCTGTAGAGGGGCAGCGCCCTGGAAGCAGAGACCAGGGCTGGGGCCGAGCTCTGGGGATGGGGGGCAAGAGGGGGAGGCGCCATGGAGGCCCGGGCAGGGAAGCAGGTGAGTCTGGGGAACTGGGTCATAAGCCTCTCCCGAACTGTCACTGGGGGGAGGTTGGTGGTGTGTGGATTGGAAACCATCACAGCTCCCATTCGGGATTTAGCTTCGGACTCTGAGTATTTTTCAAAGCAGCTGAGCATCAAGGGCCAGGCCCTGCCCTCACGTGGGCCTCAGCTCCTCCATTGCGAATGGTGGGGGGACACATTGGGCCCCGTGCTGTCCCAGGCCCTGGATTCTGTGAGCTGGTGACCAGAAGGAGCAGCGTCCATGCGGGTGGCCCTGGAGCAGAGCGTTTGGGAACGGGGTCTCTAGGTGGCGCTGTTGGATCTCAGAAGCCGGGTCCCTGTGCCCCCGCCGTCCTCGACCGTTGTTAAACCGGCAGCTGGAGACAGGGGATCGTTATTCCCCTGTTGCCAAAGAGCCATTTATAGCGACTTTACAAGCTCTTAAATGGGTTTGCATGTTGTAAACATGACTGAGTCATTTAGGGGCTCCCCACCCCCAGCCGCCTCCTCCGCTAGTTGGCAGCAGGAATAATTAGTTAATTACAATTAATGGCACATTAGTCCTCTCTGGGATTCCACGGGGAGGGGAGGGCGTGCAGTTTGGCTGTCAGCAGCCATAAAACCTGCTGCTTACCCTTGAGTCACTGCCCACCCCGGGGCTGTTTCCCCCTTGCTGTATGAAGAGGCCTGGGGGCCTGGGGATGAGGGCAGATGGTCGGGGGCTGGGGGTGCAGGGTCAGGCTGTGTCCTGCTTGGGCGGGGGTGGTGGTCCACCTGCAACGCGGGCATTCCTGCCAGCCCTGCGCTCAATGCTAGGCCAGCGGGCATGGCTGTGAGCGGCCTTGCAGGGTGAATCCTGGCCTGGAACCCCAAGAGCTGGACTGAGCCCTCTGCTTCCCTCATTCACTTTCTCCGTTTTGCTCCTTTCCCGAGCCCCCATCTGTCGCCGGGCCCGGGCTGGGCATTCGTGGGGACAGAGGTGAATGAGCACCGCGCAGACCCTGCCCCCGAGGGCTTTGCATTCCTGTGGAGGAGAAAGGTGGCCCCACAAACGCACCCAAGGGCCCGCGGGGGCTCCTTGCAGGGCTGGCACCTTCCGTTCCCAGCTCCATCCCTCCTGGGTGACCCGAGTCGGGCCTGAGCAGCAGCTGGGCCCAGATCCAGTGCCCACCAGCGCATTTTTCTAGCCACATCCGTGCTCCAGACAGACTTCACCTGGGAGCCTCTGTCTCTTGGCTTCCCATCCACTGGGGCAGAAAATCTCGGCGTGTCGGAGCCTGGAGGCTCCTGGAGACCATCCCTTCCTGCTCTTCTGTAGAGGGGTAAATCGAGGCCCGGAGAGGGAGGAGGGTGTGCCGGGTTTCTCATGGTGCCTCAAGGCAGAGCGGGGCCCAGCGGGGAGCCCCTGGAAGGAATGTGGGTAAGGCCACAAAGACTGAGCAGCCGTCCCTCACTGCACCTGGTCACGCGTGCCCTGGTCTTTGGAATCTGGGCTGGTTCTGCGTGGAGGGGGGCCTGGGTGGCCCTGGAGGAGTCATCCTGCTTCCAGGTAGGCCCGGCGCCCCCTGCCCCTCAGTCTATTGCAACACATGCATCTGACCAGGGTCCCAGAGTTTACCTCCTGCCAGTGTCATCCCCCAAGTAGAGGCAGGAGGCCAGAGGAGTCCAGATGCCAAGGTCTCGCCGAGGTGGGACTCGGGGCCGTGTTTTGGGTTGGACTCTCATCTCCAAGCCCACCGGTCACTGCCTTATTTCTCTGCTCAGGTCTCTTCCCACCTCTTTCCCTCTTCCTCCTCTGTCCCAAAGAACTCCTGTGTACCCTGGGAGCTTCTGGGCCCCGGGGGTAGCTGGGCTGGCATTGCTGGCGCTGGACACGGGCACAGCTCTACAGCGACAGGCCTGTCCACCTGCCGTGGCTGGTTCGCTGCTGGACTTGAGCCCAGGCAGGAGTGGCCTGCGAGCCACAGCCAAGCATGTTTACCTGCACCCCACTCAGCTCTCACAAGTGCCTCCAGGGACGGGTGTGATTGTCGCCCTTGGGCAAAGGAGGGAAGGCAGATAAATAACCACCTGAGAGGAGCCTCTGAAACACTGTGGGCCCTGGGTGTTTGCAAACTTGTTTTTGGTGGCTTGGTTCTCATTTCAAGCAGTGTCTTAGACAGAAACGCTTTATGTCAGTGGAAGGGAAGAAAATGTTTTCCAGGGCCACTCAAGCCTCTGTATCTGCTGTGCCTGGCAGGATTTAGGGGGCTCCTGGGCCCCTCGAGAACCAGTGTGCAGCCCCATGCTGCCTGTAGTGCCTGGGAAGGGACCCAGACCTACTCACAGGTGTTGGCTGAACACCTGCCCGCTGTAGGCCGTGCCCCGTACGGGCACTGGACTCTGAGGTCAGGAAGGCTCCGTGGAGGAGGTGAGGTCTGAGCTGAGTCTCCACACATGTGTTTCCTCCCCGCCACAACCCTGTGGGAGGAAGGGCCAGAGACAGCAAGAGGCTCGTCCTCCGCTCCTTGGCGTTGGGGACAAAGTGGGCCGAGCTGGATGCTCCCCAAACACCTGGAGCCCACCGACTGCTCGGGCTGACTTGGGCAAAGTGACTGAGGGTTTGGGTCCCAGAGAATAAGGCGTGTACAGGCTGCCAGGACCCTGAGGCCACGGAGCTCATCCTTGCCCCAAATAACAGCAGAAGAAAGTGCCCCAAGTCCACTCAGAACCTAAAAGGGCCAGGCCTTCCCCTAATGTATCCTTGAAAAGCCCATTCTTAGGGGGGATAAAGGCGGCTCTGCGGCAGGGCCGAGCCTGCTGTCTGCAGAAAGCCCGAGTGGCCATCCTCTTGCATTCCTCCTTAACCAGCTGTCAGTGAAAAATGAAGAAAGCATTTTTAGCTTGTGCAAAAATGCCCTCTTAATGCCTCAGGTATTCTGGGGCCACGACAAAGCCTCCTGCATCCAGCCCCGGATTCGTGCCTCCCTCTGCGGGCTACTGGCTGCAGTTAGGGGGTCCTACAGGTAATAGCTCGGGATGGGGGGGCACCCTGGCTGAGATGGGCACGGGCGGGGTCCCATCAGCACCTCCACACCCACTGCCGAGGGCCACCCCCTCCCCAGGCCACTGGGCCACGGCTGCCCACGGAGCCCCGGCCCTCCCTGCCACCCTCCCTCCAAGGACAGGAAATCTGTCTATACCAAGGGTCAGCTTTGCCAGCATTTCTGTGAAGACCTCCCCGCCCCGCAAAGCCAAGAGGAGCTAGTTGCTTTCTAGACTCATCTTTCAATTGTGTAGAGGTCCGCGTGATCCTTGGTCCGCGGGCAGGTGGACGGGGGACCTAGCAGCTTCTCAAGAAGCATCCCCACCGGCCACACACCCGTCTCATTAACTGAGGGTCCTTGGGGAGCCCGAGCACCGTGGGGGCTGGGACCCCGCTTCCCCATCAGGCATGGACATACAGTAAGTGATCGACTACCCAAGGCCGCGCTGGAAAGACAGGAGCGCCCCGGCTCGCACGGGCTCCATAGGTCACAGCCTCCTGTAGTGTGGACCCTCCCTGGCAAGAAAGGGCCACCAGGATGTGACCAAGCAATGATTCCGCAAGGTCCACCCTGGGTCATAGCATCTCACATGTCCTGTTCTTACTGGAATCCTCCCGCCCGGCGCCTGGTACGTGAGGTGAGATTCATTCTGTATAGTGCACGTCCCTTATAAATAATAATAATAATAATTCAAATGAGAACAGCCCTAAAACTACTAGGTAGTTAGCTCTCCCAGCCTCTGAAATGAGCTGAAATAAAAGAGATGGACTTGCTAATTGTTCTTCCCCGGTAGAGTGGGGAGTTTTGTTTTTGAGTCTTTGCCTAATTACCGGGAAGGCTCTAATTTTGCTAAAAATGGGCACAAACCCAAAAGAACAAATCAGCGTTGGCATTCCCCGCGGTGTCAGCCTCCGGCCTCGTGAGGTTTTCACCAGTCTTTCCCCTTGACCTGGGCCCTGAGCGTCCCCGCCCCACGGCTCCGGAGACCCTGGAAGTAAACGATGGCATGTAGCTTTCCCGCAGGCGCGAGCAGCAGCTCCCCACGCAGGCTGCTCCCCTGAGCTGCCCGCGTGTCTCTTCCAGCAGCCGTCCTCCCTTCCCTCTGATCACATCGAGGAATCTGCTAGGAGCCAATGTTGGCCGCACCAACGTGGCTCCCTGGTGCCTGGACAGCCTCAGGGCCAGAGTCGGGGGGTTGGCAGTGGGCATCGCTGGGGTAGGGGCACTGGGAGTGAGCAGTTAGCTGTCTCCCCCACTCCACAGTGCTTCCTGAGCACCTACTATGTGCTGGGAGGGGAGCACGCAGTCACAGCCTCTTGGGAGGCTGACCGTCCCTAG